CAGCGGGGCGGGCTCGGGCACGCGGGGCAGGGGCACCGGGGCCTGCGGGAGCCTCGGCCCCCGCATCACCAGCTCCTGAAGCTTCTCCACCTTCACCCGCCGCATGTGCGCCAGCTTGCGCTGGCTCTGGTAGACGTCAATGAAGGCGTCGAGGGGGAGCTCTCCATCCAGAAACTTCTCAGCCATGTTCTGCAAGAGGCCAAGAGCACCGGGGACGGATGAGGCCCGAGACCCCGCTCAGTCCTGGGCGCCGCGGGGCGGCGCTGCCTCCGACCGCACCTGGCCAGCCGCGGGTGCCGAGCGGGCGCCGCCAGGCGGGGCCTCCACCACAGGCGGCAGCATGATACGGAGCGGGATGTGCTGCACCCCCTTCTCTCCCCCCTCAAGCCCCTCAAGCCTTCCTCCTGCGGCTCCATCTGAGTCTCCAAGTCCCAAGCACTTGTCAGCAGCTGCAGCCAGGCTGGGCGACACGCAGCCCGCCGGCCCGGACGGGCCCGCACTGTCCGCTGGGCCGGCCGCGTCCGCCAGCTCATGAACTCACACGCAGACGGCCACCGCGCCAGGGCCGCACGCTGCCCCCTCGGCTCGGCCGGGCGTCTGGGGCACATGCAGGCTGTGTGCCCAAGAGGTGTGTGCCCTTCAGGACATGGAGACGGAACACCTGGTCCCGAGGGACAGGGACCATGGTGGGCCCCAGACGCGTGCCTGGGGCACTGCACACGGCCCGTGGGCCTTACCTCAGTGTCTTCCTCAATCTTGGCCCCTTCCGCTTGAAGAAGTGCAAGAAGAGTCTCCAAGGAAGCACTACTAGACTGTTTATCTGCAAGAGACGAGATGTCCTGTGAGGCAGCCTCACCAGAACCTTCCATCCCCATCAGTCGTGTGTGTGTATGTGTGTGTGCACACGTGCGTGCACATGTACACCTTAATCTCAGGGCCTGGCTGTCCTTGGGCTTTTCAGATCAAGGCCTGCACTCTGCTACTTGCGCCACAGCTCCACTTCTGGCTTTTTGCTACTAGTCAACTGAAGATAAGAATCTCATGGACTTTCCTGCCTGGACTGCCTTTGAACTGTGATCCTCAGATCTCAGCCGCCTGAGTAGCCAAGATTACAGGCGTGAGCCATAGTGCTCAGCATGTACTCACTTATTTAATATGTATTTTTGATTGTCAAGATCCTATACAGAGGTGTTACAGTACACAAGCAAGGTAATGAGCCCGCTTCCCGTTGAGCATTGCTGCCCCTGCTTTGTCCCCTGCGTCCCATGGACTTATTTGTGATAAACTGACATCAACTATGCTCATCTGAAGTGTAAGACTCAAATTCTTAAACATGAAAAACTCAAGCCCCGCCACTGCCATCACCCCGTGCAGATCCAGTCAGAGGCCGTGTGCAAGTGGCTCCATGGTGCCCACTGCCGGCACCAAGGCCAAGGTGGACCTCTGCCAGCGGGGCAGGTCCTGCGTGGCTCTGAGGCCAAACAAACACAGGGAAGACGTTTGTTGAATGTCATAAAACTGCCTTTTTGCTGTGCTATTTGGAAAAGGTGGAGCCTCGAACTTATCAAATGATTAAGTCTTTCCTAAACTGGCAATACAATTTTATCTAAGCACGATTATTCCACTACACTGGAGTCACTGTCTCATCACCCAAAATGTACCTTCCCTCCACTCTTTATTTTCACCCTTACAATGTTACCCAGTTTGGGGCACCAGTGGCTCGCGCCTGTCATCCTAGCTACTCAGAAGGCTGAGATCTGTGGATCATGGTGCAAAGCCAGTCCAGGCAGGAAATTCCATGAGACTCTTACCTCCAGTAAACCACTAGAAAACCAGAAGTGGTGCTGTGGCTCAAGTAGTAGAGCGCTCGCCTTGAGCTGAAGAGCTGAGGGACAGTGCCCAGGCCTTGAGTTTAAGCCCCACGATAGATATATACACACAAAAAAAGTTACCCGGTTTGGGGCTAGGAAGGTGGCTCAGTTGCAAAGTGCTTGCCTTGCATGCATGAGGCCCTGGGTTCAATTCCTCAGCACCATATACGCAGAAAAAGCCTGAAGTGGCGCTGTGGCTCAAATGGTAGAGCGCCTTGAGCTGAAGAGCTCTGGGACAGCAACTACGCCGCATTTTGTCGGCCCCACAACCGACAAGAAAAAAGAAAGAAAGAAAAAAAAAAGAGAAAATTACCCAGTTTGGTCTTCTTTATCTGGTAAGCTTCGAAGAGAGCCTGGAGTTCCTGGTACTTTTGGGTCAGGCAGGCTTTGCGAGTGTCCAGCTGCGGCTGATACAGCAGGTTCTCCTCCGCCAGGCTCCGGTTGCTGGCCAGCGTCATTTCTTTGTTGAGCTGCACAGTCTGTGTCTGTAAGACACCACAGGATGGTGAGACCCGGAGCCACACCCACCCGTGACCATGCCTGCATGTGGCCTGTTCCACTTGGCTGGGCTCCAAGCGAGCCCCACAGGCCTGCTGAGACCCCAGCCCCTTGGATTTCTCTTTCGGACGCTGTTTCCTATTCATGAACAGCAGGACTGGGCTTCATTTCCAATACGTTTCCAGGACGAGCTGTGTCCCGGGCCGCCGTGGCGCCTTGGCTCAGTGCCGGGCAGTGACTTGAATTCTTCACCATGGCCACTGTGCTTGTGAAAGTGTAAAGACACAGGGCAGATCGGCGCCCGCTGCTTCAGCCCAGACGGGGGACAGCGGGCGTGCTGCCGCGGGCTTCATAATCTGGCTCAGTTCAAACAAGCCGGCCTCTGAGACGGCCTGGGAGGAGAGGACGTTCGCAGCCACCGCCAGCTCCGCCCGCCCCGGCCGTGGCTGGGGAGCCCCTCCGGCTCTGGCTCGAGGCAGGCTACTGTAGGCTACTGTGCCACCGTGCACACCAGGGCGGGAGGGAGGCACGGAGGGCTGCGGGAGAGGTGAGGACAAAACTAGCTGAAAAATCAGAACAGGCAAACCTACCCTGTTCCCGCGGCCCAGACCCGCCAGCCCCTGCGGGCCCCGTCCCCGTCCCCGTCTCCGTCTCCTCCCGCCTCCATCCCCCGCTCTCTCCTCTCCCCTCTGCCCCACCATTCCCTGTGTAGCCCCCCACACACACACGTGTGTGCACACGTGCACCGTACATCACAGAGACCCAGGGAAAAACCAGAACAAAGGAAAACCCCTGGGACCACGGCTCCAGTCAGGAGACTGTGAACCAGCCCACTGCGCGCTGCGCCTCGGGGAGACGGCGAGGCCCAGCCTGACGGTGGTGCGGGTGGGCAGCTGAGTCATGAGAACCCTGCTCAGCTCTGTGGAGACGCCCGGGCTCCCAGGCTAGTGCAGTGCTGGCACTGGAAGAGTGGGACTGGCTTCCTGGAGGTGGAGGTCCGGCTCCATCCCTGCCCGGCCCAGCCCTGCCCTCGAAGGCTGCCCAGCGCTCCTCCTCACTCTTCCTCCCCAGGCTTTCGGCGAGGCCCTGCCTAAGCCTTTCCTGCAATTGTGAAGCCACTTCAAAGAATAAACAAAAACAAACCACTGTACAGTGGAAACCAGTTTGGTACATTCTTATAAAATGAAACGTGTTAACTACTCTGAGACCTGAAAACTGTCCCTGGCCATTTATCCCAAAGAAATTAATCTTTTTTTTTTTTTTTTTGGTCAGTTGTGGGGCTTGAACTCTGGGCCTGGGCGCTGTCTCTCAGCTCTTCAGCTCAAGGCGAATGCTCTACCACTTGAACCATAGTGCCATTTCTGGCTTTTTCTGCTTATGTGAGGCTGAGGAATCGAACCAAGGGCCTCAGGCATGCAAGGCAAGCACTCTACCACTGAGCCACCTTCCAGCCCAAATTAATCTTTTTTGTTGCTGGTGGTGGTGGTCGTCGTGGGGTTTGAACTCTGGGCCTGGGCGCTGTCCCTCAGCTCTTCAGATCAAGACGAGCACTCTACCACTTGAGACACAGCGCCACTTCCAGTTTTCTGGTGGTTCACTAGAGATAAGAAATTAATCATAAGGCCGGGCGCTGATGGCTCACGCCTGTAATCCTAGTTACTCAGGAGGCTGAGATCTGAGGATCGCGGTTCAAAGCCAGCCCGGGCAGGAGAGACCGTGAGACTCCTATCTCTAATAAACCACCAGAAAACCAGAAGTGGTGCTGTAGCTCAAGTGGTAGAGCGCTCGCCTTGAGCTGAAGAGCTGAAGGACAGCGCCCAGGCCCAGAGTTCAAGCCCCATGACCAACAGCAACAACAACAAAAATTAATCATATTACACAAAAACCTGTACATGAGCCAGGCACTAGTAGTTCACATCTGAAATCCTAGCTACACAGTAGGCTGAGATCTGAGGATCGCGGTTCAAATCCAGCTCAGTCAGGGAAGTCTGTGAGACTCTTGCCTCAAATGAGCCGCAAAAAAAGCCAGAAGTGGAGTTGTGGCTCAAGTGGTAGAGCATTAAGCCTTGTGCAAAAAGTTCAACAACAGGGCCCATGCCCTGAGTTCAAGCCCCAGGACTGGCAAAACACACACATACACACACACACACACACACAGGGTAGTGATTGTGTGGGCAGACACACAGCGTTAGTATAAATGGCGCGATGCTCTCTGATCTGTAAGGCCCACTCACGCTTCCCATTCTCAGCGTGGGCCGCCCGCTCCCCCCTCGCCGCTGCTCTGCGGTGCTCCGCGGTCACCGCCGCGGTCACGCGCTGCTTCGGCAGTGACAATTCCATCTTTCTGATCACTGTCCTCCCCAACCTGTGGCCCGCAGGGCAGTCAGGAAGACCCAGAACCCCAAGGCTGAATGTGATTAAGAAAAGGTCCGGGATGTACAGAGCTTACCTCGCGTGCGAAAGCCCTGGACTCAACACAGCAAAGAAGCTAAAAGTGAGGTGAGCAACAAAAGGCGAGCAGTTTGTCCCGGAGCGAGTGCAGCCGCGCGGGACGCCGGCTGCGCGGGCGTGTGATCACACACTGGGATGCTGCGAGCTCCAAAATGCAGTCTCCCCAAAAAAGGGGAGCAAAGAGGCCTCCCAGGGCAACCCCTGGAAGGGCAGCAAGCGCGCACTGGGATTCTAGCACCGGTTAGCTACGACTCTAAGCAAGGCTCCGGAGCAGCTGTTTAAAATCCAGTGCCCACAGCTGCAGGCGTAGCTTAAGGGGAGCGCCTTGCCCAGCATGTGTGTGGCCCTGGGCGCTATCCCCAGTACCTTAACACTACGCAAACAACCCTGGGCGCTATCCCCAGTACCTTAACACTACGCAAACAACCCTGGGCTCTATCCCCAGTACCTTAACACTACGCAAACAACCCTGGGCTCTATCCCCAGTACCTTAACACTATGCAAACAACCCTGGGCTCTACCTCCAGTACCTCAACTGCACAAACAACCCTGGGCGCTATCCCCAGTGCCTCCTCCCTGTGAGCTCACTCTCTTGGGAAGGGCCCAAGTAAGGACAATTTCCTCAAAGCCCCTGCCTGGAAGCCACGGCCTGGGCTTGGGTAGGTGGCGGCTAGCTGCGGGTGACAGGGTGCAGTGGGCCGAAGAGTCACGAGGCCTCCAGAAAACCCTGTGAGCAAACGCCACGCCCGCAGCTCCCCTCGGCCCTGCGCACTGCGGTTCCTCTCTGCCGGCTCGGAGCTCACCCCCGAAGGGCAGCGCTGGCAGCCTCGGCGCACAGCCGCCAGGCATGGGAGTGGTCTCTCTTGCCGCGAATTCACTGAGAGCCTGGCATGTCTGCCTCCGTTGTGTTTGCCACTGTTCCGAGCTGTTCCCTCCAGCCACCTCTGCTTCCAGGAAAGCCAGGACTGATGGAAACCATCTTTACGACAACGCAGTGCCTTGCTGGACAGGCCACCCCAGCTGGGGACGATACTCGTAACGGTCAGGCCTTTCTGACCATTAGTCGCCTTTCTCAGCCATATTTCTTTCCTAATAAACTCCAGTTGCCAGGTGCTGGTGGCTCACACCTGTCATCCTAGCTACTCAGATCCGAGGATCGCGGTTCAAAGCCAGCCTGGGCAGGAAAGTCCATGAGACTCTTAGGTCTAATGAACCACAGAAAATCAGAAGTGGCGCCGTGGCTCTACATGGTGGAGCACTAGACTCGAGTGGGAGGGGAAAAAAAAAAAGCTCGGGACAGCGCCCAGGCCCTGAGTTCAAGCCCAGTGATGGACCCAAAAAAAAATTTTTATTTTTACTTTTACATGTGACTACGTTGCATGAATGCCCCTCTTGCTAGACTCAAAGACCTAGGCTGATCTGCTGTACTGACTTTCGGGGAAGTTCCACTACCAGCTACATCACAGAAAAAAAATCTTGCAAGTCACGTCCGAATGACTCGCCCGTCAGCAGCGGCAGCTCGGGAAGCTCGGGAGAACCGAAAATTAACCCACTTGCAAAGCCAGCCGCCGCCGCCCTCCAAGCAGGGATAACAACGCCTGTCAAACTGACCGATGTTTTCGCATCCTTCAGGCATTCAGCTGTTTCTGGGTCAATGGACACAGTACCAGCAAATGCTAAGTGGCCACCAGCAGACAGCGCGGCTCTGAGCTCCGAGCTCCACCCACTCCGCCCGCCCCAGGGCCCCGCCCCCTGCATCACGTGGAGAAAAATGACTCTGGCCTCAGTGTCTCCTCAACGTAGCCTGGCTCGAGTGCAAAGTGAGGGCCCGTGCCGGGATCCCTTGAAACCCACGGGGGCAGTCCGGACGGCCGCCCACCCTCAGACCCGGCCGCCCCTGTCTCCGTGCTCACGGAAACATGGAGACTGAAAGCTCAGAGGAAGCCACCGCGCTGTCACCATGACAGAGACGCCTGCGGAGAACTGAAATTCAGGGCGTGCGGGGCCACCGCTGATCTTCCTCCTGAGCCTTTCTCAACCATAAAGAAATCTTTCAGGAAACAATTTCCTCTGTGGTAAACAAATATTGTTATAAATGTACTCAGCCTCGTTTCTGGTTCCTTCTCCTTCCTAAAGGAAAGCGAGGCTGGCTCGCAGCGCTTGTTTTTGGCTCTATTTGCATTATTACTTCTGCCCTCGTGTGCATTAACACAGAGAGCTCTCTGGAAGGCAATCCCCGAGGCTAACCCACCAACCCCTTGATGGGATTTTATTTTTATTTTCTTGCCCAGAGCTAGTGCTCTACCACGTGAACCACAGCTTCATTTTCAGCTTCTTTTTTGTGCGTGAGCCTGACCTGGGACTTGAACTCATGAGTCTGGCCACTGTCCCTGAGCTTCTTTTTGCTTAAAGTTAGTGCTCTACCATTTGAACTACAGCTCCACTTTTGGCTTTTTGTTGCTAACTGAAGATCAGAGTCTCACAGGCTTTCTTGCTCGGGCTGGCTTTGAACCATAACTCCTGGATCTCAGCCTCCTGAGTAGCTACGATTATAGGCATGAGCCACTGGCGCCTGGCTTGCTTGAGGCTTTTTGTAGAAAATAAGCTCCCTAAGGAGGAAAGGAAATAGCTGGGAGCCCTCTGCACATGCTGTGGCGCGGAGGGGAGCCAGCCGCGCCTCCCGGGCAGCGCGAGGGGGGGGGGGCGGGCAGGGCCAGAGCCGCTCCCAGGAGCGGCCCTGCTGAGCACCCAGGCATTCCCAAACTACATCTTCATGGGAAACACTCCCGCAGATCCCCCTTCAAAGCACAGCACAGCCTCCTAAGAAGCGGAAGTCCAGAGTGATGTGAGCAAACGTCAACACGTGAGTGCAAAGTCCTGGTAGCGCTGGGAGTCTATCATATCTCAAAACCCAGCGGGCTGTCCACATCTGGCCGGGTCACCTAAGGTACAATGGAGGAACGGCCTCACCTGTAGGCCTAGCCCAAGAGCTCAATCACATTACTCAACATGCAAACCCTGTTACACAACAAACGGAAGCTGGGTGCAGAGTAAGAACTGCCCCCCACTGCGCAAACGCATTCCTCAGCCTGCCTCCTCCTGGCGGGTGCTCTGAGCTGCCCCCGAACCGCCCCGAAGCGACAGCCTGGCCTTGGCGCGCTCCTCCTTCATCAGGCAGAACTCACTGGGGTTTGGAGAGAGGCAGAGGCAGCCACGGGGAGGAGGCCAGCGCCCTCAGCCCTCCACAGGC